AAAGCTAAAGGCACCCATAGAAATATTACATCCGTGCTTCTTAGTCCTTAGTCTTAGGAAGGACATTCAAGAGAAATAGGAAATCATGGGAATTGTTTGCTTCTTAGTCCTCATGCTTCTTAGTCCTGCTCAAAAGGGAGGACATTTTGGAACACCTCCTGGGCAGAAGGCTGAAATGGAGGACGTGTCCTGGGAAAGGAGGACCTCTGGTCACCCTGTGTGTCTCTGCATTTGGGGGAGCTGGGAGAGTTGAAAATGAATTTTATCTCTTGTGGCACATGGAAGGATCATCCTGCCATTGCCCAAAGGTTGCTTTCCAAGGCACAAAAAAGGATGGCCGCTTTCCCTAGGGCCACCTTAAGAACCAATGTTTCCTACCTTAAAAAAGCATTTCACCTGCACCAGACATTCACAGTAAAACATGCCTCTTTCCTGGCAAAATCGGATCTGACACCAGTTGCTGACAAGAGGCTTCTTGAGTAACTGGTTTTCAAGGCTGGCCCTTCCTCCTTATGTCCCAGGAGTAACCATTTTGGCCATGTAGCGAAGTACAATAACATCCAAAATCCAGAAAAACAGGGATACCTTTTTGGGGGGCCAACCAAAAAAATGCACAAAATACATGTTGCAAGCTTTCAAAGCTCCACTGGAACTTTGAAAGCTTGCAACATGTATTTTGTGCATTTTTGGTTGGCTTCATAAAGGTATCCCTCTTTTGTGGATTTGGGATCCACTGGAGCTTCGAACACTTGCAACATGTATTTTGTGCATTTTGATTGGCCCAATAAAGCTATCCCTGTTCTGTGGATTTGGGATCCACTGGAGCTTTGAAAGCTTGCACTAGGTATTTTGGTTGGCCCCATAAAGGTATCCATGTTTTGTGGGTTTGGGATGTTATTGTACTTCTTATGTGTATTCCTTTCTGCCTGAGCACACAGCCTCAGACACCCCACGGTTTCCCCTGGGCAAAGCAGTAAAAAGACAGTAGTGACAAGAGAGTATATATAGCAATCTTTTAGGCAGGGATCAGGTTTACAGAGCTCTGAAAGGATAATGGATAGAGAAATGTGACCACCCACTGTGAAGAGATGTGGGTCAAAAAATACTGGGAGCACAGCTGCTCTGGGTGCCTGTTACTTCAGAGATATCAGTCCAGATCATCCTTGTGCCCACCTGCAAAATTTAAACATTGATTGGGTCCCCTTCACAGCTAAGTAAAATATCTCCCCCATCCTTACTATGACCCACCTCAATCTAAGAGGGGTGAGGGACATTTTCCACTTTATTTTTTGTCCAAGGCTGTGTTTCCTGAGGGAGAATATCAGGAACTGCATCCCAGCAATGGTCAGGTCCACCCCTCCACCTTTCTCTCTTTTCCTGATACACCTTTCCTTGAAGACCGCCAGCTTGATTTCCCTAGAAGCCTTTCAGAGGGCTTCTGGAAGCTACTCATTTGTCTGAGATCAACTCAAAATGTCTTCTTAATATTTCTGTTTGGTGTCTCAAACCAAACCATTAAGGTGTAGCAAGCACAGAGGTGGCTTTTGGTGTAACTGTTTCTAACTTCTGTGGGCGCTCCACAATTGGTGAGTTCAACTGATTCGCCAAAATCTGAAGTCGTGTATTTTGACAACAAACTTGAAAGGCTTTCTCAAGTTGCCTTTTGAATATGGTACACTTTTAATTCAAAATAGCAAAGTATTTTACACCTCAACAGATGTGTAATATTTATGTTGCTGTTTTTATTTATTTGGCACCTGAAGCCTGGCAACAATTGTAAACCGCTTAGACACTCCATAGTGTGGTATGAAGCAGTATGTAAATGAAGCTGCTTTGCTTTTGCTTTGCTAAAGGCACCAGATCCTATCCAGTCTTGGAAGCTAAGCAAGGTCAGTCCTGCTTAGTATTTGGATGGGAGACCACCAATGGCTACATTTCAGAGGAAGGAAATGGCAAAATCACCTCTCAGTATTCCCTGCCTAAGAAAACCATATTAAATTCATGAGGCTGACAGGACTAAGGAAAATGTGTATACATATACAGATTTCTCAAACATTAACATTTGGTGAATTAGAACACAACAAAAGTGTGAATATCTTTCTATATATCTGCATTGGGGCAATGAGAAGTGATTTGATAGTTCTACCCGTGTTTTTGGATATGAGGATTTTACATACAGCATGGAAGATTTAGATTTTTAAACTGCAGCTTGTAGAACTGCTGGCTGGAGAATTCTGGGAGCTGGAGTTCAAAAACACATCTTTTGCAAGCTGTGGTTTCACCAATGTAAGTGCTGCAGAAATAAATAGGAAAAAAAAAACAATAGTATAGTTGTAGGCATGTGAATCAGCACTTATTTGAGTTACTATACAATGTCAATATAGAGCAGACCAAAACATATCACTCATCGTGCATACCCATACCCCAAATATTGCACCCTTCCTGTATAATCACATCTAAGGGTTTTATACTTAAAGGTTCTTTCATAACTAAAGGTCCAACCTGCAACAACATGACTAAAGAACTACATAGGTCACACCCTCAAATGTACTTAATGTCTGCTTGTAATGGTAGGTACAGACTGATGGCATATAATATGGTGGTCCCTCCACATTCGCTAGGGTTAGGGGTAAAGGACCCCTGTGAATGTGGAAAAACTGTAAATAAAAAAAACTATTCTTTTTACCTGAGGGAACACCTCTCTAGGAATTTACAGGTCCTCCAGTGCAACTCTATGGTCAACATCTGCCAGAAGCTGATCATGCTGGAGGACCTACAAATGCCTAGAGAAGAGTTTTCTCTAGGAACTCCACCTAGGCTCTCCAGCACAACTCTATGTCAATGTCTGGCAAAGTTACCCTGGAGGACCTAGAGATTCCTAAAGAGAACATATTAATCAAACCCACAAATAATCAAATCTGCAAAAATCAAAGCTGCAGATGTGGACGGCCAACTGTAACTTCATTTGTAACCAATAGCATACCTGCCATCTTTCTGTGTTTGGCTGCCACACTGCCATTTTTGGGATCAGGGTCTCTTACTTTGTGTGTTCTAATACTGTTGACTTTGGTATTTTGGGATTAACGTCTTTGCAGGGGGTGGGGGTATGTGTGATGTCTGCATGTGAAAATGAAACAAAATTGTATGTGCATGAAAACATGTGCATCTGGAATAAAAGGAAATGACTTTCTGAAGGTACAATATCAGTAATTATTTGAGGGCACACCACTAAGGCCTTTGCAGACTGCCAGAAATAGTGCACATTAAATTGAGGCACTGCCCTGGCTCAGTGCTAGGGAGTCATGGGAATTTATTTTTTTTCTGGGACATTGAGCCTTCTCTGTCAGAGAGCTCTGGTGCCACAATAAATTACAGTTCTTGATGTAGGCTAATGCACCCATAAATATCAAAAGGAGCAACAAGACTCCTGAATCCCACTTACAATACAGTCCATTCTCAGCAGCCATATTGAGCCATTCAAGTAGAGGCACTGTATTTCCCAAGATGACCATTGTTCTGTGTGTGTGTTGTGTGCCTTCAAGTTGTTTCCAACCTATAGCAACCTTAAGGCAAACCTGTTATGGGGTTTTCTTGACAAGATTTGTTTGGGTTTGTGTGTGTGGTTTTTTTTTGTTTTTTTGCAATTGCCATCCTCTGAGGCTGAGAGAGTGTGACTTCTCAAGGTCACCCAGTGGGTTTCCATGGCTGAGCTGGTATTTGAATCCTGGTCTCCAGAGTTGTAGTCCAACACTCAAACCACTATGCCACACAGGCTCTCTATTAGTATTGTTACAACAATATAATTCAAATACACTATTGATACAGATACCACTGTGTATTTCGGGGTAGCCACCAATCCATTAGAATGCAATGGTTTGCATAGTGGTCCACACTCTGTCTTCCTGTGCCCAGAAGTGCAAGGATCCACATTAGATATAACAGGTCGCCTCTGTAGTCAAAGGCTCTTGAGAGGCAGGGAAATGTCCAAGTTTGAATCCATGAAGTAGTACAGGCTGGCTTGTTCCCCAGTCATAGCAGCTGGTCTCAGGATCTGTACAAAATAACTATGTGGACTAACTGTTGGCTTAAAAAAACTTAGTAGACCACAAGTTGAACTTGATGAGTGTGATGCGGCAACTAAAAAGGCCAATGCGATTCTAGGCTGCATCAATAGAAATATAGTGTCTATCTAGATCAGGGGAAGTAATAGTGCCACTCTATTCTGCTTTGGTCAGGCCTCACCTGGAATACTGTGTCCAGATCTGGGCACCACAATTCAAAAAGGACATTGAGGAATGTATCCTGAGGAAGGCAACCAAAATGGTGAAGGGTCTGGAAAGAGTCAAGGAGCTGGGTATGTTTAGCCTGGAGAAGAGATGGTTAAGAG